GGTTCCAAATTCTAATATCATTCATCTCTATGGAAATGTCACACGGGCAAAAATGAGCCACTCTCAGTCCATTACTTCAATCCCCGCAGACACAGACTGTAAATTAATTTTCATAAATTCTTTTGAAAAAAAGGGGGGGGGCATTAAAGTGATGAAAAAGGAATGAATCAGAAGTAAATATGCTGCATGAGAAAAAAAGAATTGGAGGCTGAGAGGGAGTGAAACTTACTGTCCAAAACAATGACGGCTCCGGTGCCTTTGTCCAAAATGTCAGCGACGGTGGCTTCAGAAGTCACAGTACCTGAAAATGTGGTCATTTTAGGCCGCTGTACATTTAGTCCTGACATACACAGTCAAATGAACTCAGAGCTCGTTAGCACTCGGTGCTGTTCTCAAAACCTAAACACATGAACTAAATCAGTGATTCCCGACCACTGTCCCGTGGCACACTATGCCGTGAGAGATCATCAGGTGTGCCGTGGAAAATTATCCAATGTCACTTAACTGGGCTGAAAACTATGATTTATTTATTGCATGTAATTTTATTTTTTTTTAACTTTCATTTTTTTGATTGTCAAAGCATAAAGGGCAGAACAATGGCAATGGCAGACAACTGGGAAACACTAAACTAAATAATGAAATAAAATAAATAATGAATAACACATTTAAATAACAGCTGGAATAACCAGTTAATTTATAATATTGCATCTGCATGTTAATTACTCACTCGTCTGGTAGCACATTTGCACGTTTTGATCAGGAGATAAAAGTTGACATTTGGGAAAATGTCTTTTTAATTATAGACATCACATTCAAAACTGCACGGCGTAATTGATGATTAGTGGAGCCAGAATATTCCACGATTCTTATAGTGTGTCTAAAGGGCTGTCAAATTAGCTTACTTATCTGATTAATCAAAATAAATCAACATTCTTAATTATGACAAACTTTTTTTCCCATACTGTATGTTGTCAGAACAGAAAGACATATTCCATAACTGCATAAGGCAGTTTTGTTTTTCAACCTTGGGGTTGCAACAAAACATGGGGTCAAATGGTGTAGCCTGAAATGTCAAATGTAATTGGTAAAAAAAAAAAAAAATTACTCATAAAAATATATTTTTTTCAACTAATCAACTAACAAATCGAGTTTGAATAAAAGGCTGCATATAAAAATATCTGAGCATTTTGACTGACAGTTGTGATCATGTGACTGAACCAGTGACAGCTACAAATCAAATTCATTATTTAACACTTGCACATAGTAACACTAGCACCAATTTATCAGAGTTTATCAAAAGACAGAAAAACTACCAGGTGATCTTTTTGAACCCAGTTTAAAATCCCAAACTTGTCTCTAGAAACATGACCTGTTTCACACAAAAAAAAATCCTCTGCTCTTTTGCCAGTTAAACAAACCTCAACTTTTGTATGTGTGTGTGTGTGTGGGTATCAGAGTTGGAATACCTGAGGTCTGTAGAGGTTTGTACAGCTCCAGATATTGCTCACCATGCAAAACCTGCCAGAAAACATCAGAACAGCTGTGTGTTCACAATCATGCACCTCATGTTGCTGCATCATTACCATGTGAAATATGTGCATTAATGTCATAGGTCTGTGTGTGTGTGTGAGGTTGTGTGAAATACAAAAAATGGATGAAAACACAGGAAGACACTACCAACAACGATTTAACAACAAAAAAAAAATATATATATATATATATATATTTTTTTTTTTTTTCAGATAGTACTGAAAAACGAAATGGTCTCTAACCTTAGTTAAATCGAGGCCGAGTCCAGGGAGTGACCCCATCAATGATGAGAAGGAGAGAATGACCCCATAGGTAGGGAAGCAGCTGAAGTCTGGATGGCCTTCATACAGGAAGCTACATCAGAGTGTCAGTGTTACTGAGCTGTGAAAAATCCCACTTTCATGGGAGCAGTTTATGTTCACAGATGGATGCACAGGCTCCAAGACTGTGAGTCTGAATCAATATTCCAGTGTTTTCTCCAACAATTCAGGGTAAATGTGAAGTGATTATCATTTGACCTGTGATGACCCTGGGGGCAGTCGCAGCATGAGTTTCATACACACCTGAGGTGATCAGGGTCCTTTGTGGACATGCCGACCCCCAGTGCATAGAGAATGGTACGCATGTGATCGTAGGTAAATGATGCCGCAGGTAATTTCTGTCCCACTGCTGCAGTCTGAAGAGAGAGGGGAGGGAAAAAATGAGGCGAGAAAAGGAGTGAAGATAGGAGAGGGGAGAAAAGAGAAGCAGAGGAGAGGAAGCAAGAGGAGAGGAGAAGAGAAGAAAGGAGACGAGAGGAGAGGAGAGAAAAGGAGAGGAGAAAACAGGAGGGAAGGAGAGGACAGGAGAGGAGCGGAGAGGAGAGAGAAGCAAAGGAGAGGAGAAGAGAGAAAAGAAGAAATGGGAGGGAAGGAGAGGACAGGAGAGGAGAAGAGAGGAGAGGAGAGGAGAGGAGAGGAGAGGAGAAGAGAAGAGAGAAAAGAAGAAATGGGAGGGAAGGAGAGGACAGGAGAGGAGCAGAGAGTAGAGAAAAGAGAAGCAGAGGAGAGCAAAGGAGAGGAGAAAACAGAAGAGAAAAGATGGGAGGGAAGGGAGAAGAGGAGAAGAGAAGAAAGACACGCAGCGGAGAGAAAAGGAGAAGAGGGGAGAGGAGAGGAGAGGAGACGGGAGGAGAGGAGAGGAGGGAAAAGAGGAGCGAAGTAAAGAAAGGGAGAAAAGCAAGGAGAGGAGAGGAATAAGGTGACTTAGAGGGGCACCACGAAAAAGTAAAACTTCTCATGCAATTATGACAATTTGCAGGAAAGTAATGTGAAAATACTTCACAATCCAACAGTTAGACTAATTCCTCTAATTACAGAGTCACACTCAGAAGTTTTCAGCAAAAAAAAAAAAAATCTAAGAAATGTTTTTGACATTTTGAAAAAAAATTGTCAGAATGAATTACCTGATTAGTAATAGCTGGTGTACAAACATACTGTTCACACTGTAAATTACCATGAGTTCTCAAACTTGATGGTTGATGGGACACATCATACACTAGAATACACAGAAATCTGTTCATTATACCAACAGCTATGACCATAAATAGCTGTCACAAAGGTAAAAAAGAGCAAACAGCAGCTTGAAAAAAAAAAAAGATGCCTTCAGTGTCCTCTCTGTCTGTTTATGGCACCTCAGTCTCAGCCAAAAATATCATTGATTGAAGTGCTGCAGATGGATTTTAAATGAAATTTTGAGTTACTTTGTAGCGTGGTTGCCTTGTTTGTTTTTTTAAAGTTGAATATTTAATTAGTACTTTTTTCAGCAATGCACATATGAATTAAGTGGCAAGTTGGCACAGGCAACACTATTTGTGCCAATGGTGAAAATATTCTTTTTATTTATTTATATTCATGTTTTAGTTTATTCTGTGGATGTTTGAAGCAACAGTTTTGAATGAGTCAATGTTGTTGTATTTGGACATGGAGGTCATCTAAAGAGGTCATCTTCGTCCCATCTAAAAATCGGTTACGGTGTGTATTAATCTGGTTTCATCAGGATTGATCAGGATTAACCCAAAGCTACCCTGTGATTAATCAGAAATATTCACGCCACTGAAGAAGAAAGTCTGGGAACCACTGGTGTTTCCTTCATGAGCAGTGTCATAAAAAAAAAAAAAAAAAAAATCGATGACAGAAGTCTGGCAACAAGACTTAGGTAAGAAGAGGTTGAAGCGACTGAACGGTTTATGCTGAGGCATCTTTATGCTGCTGCTCTGCAGCTCCCCTCGGTTCGAGCTGAACGCTGAAGCAGACCCCAGGTAATTTGAACTGGAGACCCCTGTTATGGACTGTTCAATGTAGAAATCAATGTAATTACTTATGCAGAAAAAACACTTTATGAATTATAAAACTATTTTTGTTTACGGTTTCTCTGAGGTCTCTTTTTCCCCCTACTTATCACACTAAAGATGATTCATTTTCCTCCTCTTTTTTCAATATTGATTAGTTTGATGTAAACATTGCCATTTTAAAATTGTGAAAAAAAAGTTAGTTTTATACCCATTTTTATTTTCAATTACCCAGGCAGTTGTTTTTTTAGATTCACCCCTGATCATCTCCTAAGTATGTACCTAATGATGTGTGAGTAGTTCTGTACCAATGGTATCGAACTTATGACTTTAGAAACAAACGTGGAAAGTGATGACGCTACATTTTGTCCATTGCCAGATCTTTCAAAGTGTAGGTACTACCACAATCCTGTTAAGGACTCTAACTCCCGTAATTCCACTGTTCCCGGTAACCCCACATACGTCACGATCAGTAACCTCTGCAACCTTTAAATTGGGGGTCAGCCCCAATTTCATTCTCTCTGTTCAGGACTTTAGCTCCGTAGGACCCGTGATGAAAAGAGAAACCTGCTCGTCTCAGAAGACTAAGATCCAACGCGCCATTGTAGACACCATTGCCCATTGTGCACATTGAAAACACTGTGAGTGTTATTGAATTTTGTTGTCTGAAATCTGTGCTGCTTTTATAGCTAGGCTGTTGCATACACTTCTTTTCTAACCTCCTGACTCGGTGTTATACTCTCGTACACCGTCAGTATTTCAGTGTTAACTTGTAACGTTATCAGTATTGGGATCAGGAAAACTCCGACAAAGTCCTTTGTCTGGAGTAGACCACTATTATGCCTTGTTTAGTTTATGTATAAACTACTATCATTAACGTGATAGGGTTGTGTTAATAAATTTGAATATTTTTGTGTTTTTGTCTGTGTTGTTACTTTATTCATTGAAGCCACCCAATTTGTCAAGAACTCCAGAAAAATCCTTCAGATATTTAATTAGTTGTGAATACTATTGATTGTAGTATATTTGTCATACTTTAAGTAATACATTATTACTATATTATTAGGATAACATAACAATTAAAGATAACTTTAATGAGACTGATCATGTTATTGATTTGAGACCGGTTAAAAACATGAGGTTAAAGTAGTGCCTGTATTCACCATCTCTGAAAGTTTGTGAGAGTTTGTGTGTAAACACCCGCCATAGGGAAAAACACACACATTTGCAGCTCCTGTCCGTGTGAGCCAAGTCGGATAACAGCTTCAATGAGTAGCTTCAGTAACGCACAGTAACGGCATGTTGGTGACGATAACGGCGTTATAAGGATAGATGAAGTAATTCGTTCTGGACCTAAATATATTTTACCGTTTACATTTTGATGTCGAGATGAAAATGATTTGTAAATATTTCTATGTTTTAGGTAGGGCAGATGAAATGATCGCATTCTTTGCAACAATTAACGACAATTAAATTGTGTTATTAATTAAATACTAATCACTCATCTCAAACACTGACAAAACGTGTTGTTAAAGAGCGCCGAAAAACATTTTCGTTTAGTTAAAGCACCTCCAGCTTAAATTGCCATCTCATCTCCCATTTGCAAGGGAGACTTCACAGCATCAGACCCAGAGTCACAGAGTGCAGGGCAGTAAATAAGTCTACAGTTGACAGGCTGACTGACACAACTGCCAAATACACTGCGAGGAACTGTAGATTGATCAATATTGTTGAGGATGACAGCTCAATGTGTTGAAAGCCACTATAACGTATTCTTCGAGCCACCGTCAGGATGAGAAATAATGACTAAAATCCATCAACTCTATGAGGCTAAATTCTTGTCTACATTTTCTTTCCTGACATTTTTCTATATTAATAGAAACATCACTTGAATTAGTCACAAATTTAAAAAAAGGTGTGAAACACACACATCTACCTGCTGTTAATTGTCTTCTGTTGCAGCAAGAACACTAGTTCTTTGTCATATTTAGGAATGCTAATTGATCTTGATTCATCAGGATTACCCATGATTAATTTACAGATACCATGAGTGTTCATATTGAACATTTTAATCTGTCGACAGCCCCCTATTTTTTTTTTTTTTTGGATTAAGGTCATTAATACTACAAGAAACCGGTCAATTCAATAACAGACTAACAGTTGGCCAATACTGTTTATATGGCATTTATAGTTGTAGGGTGTTTGCTGTCTGAAAGTTGGACACAAGGAGCAGATCAAAAAAAAAAAAAAAAGAAAAACCATCATAGCACAGGGAGCCATTGCTGCTCTAAAATCTTTTATATGTGGAGCTTTAAAAGTTAATCTGCTTTGGCACTTGTCTGGAGCATCACCATTTCATATTTACAGGACAAATCAAGTCACTTATGTTTGTTGTGGAGGCTTGGTGGGCAGCATTATTTCTGACTCTGGCAGTGTGATGCTGCAAAGTGTGACAAGCTGCCACGTTTGGAAAAGCCAGGGATTACAGCTCTGTACTTCACATAACCAAACAAGCATTTTAAACAGTCTTTGAGCAGGGAATAATGACACAGTATAGGACACACCGTTGGGGTTCCAAATATTTGTACTACACCAAGTCTCCTATGGGTGCTGAAGAAGTATTTAAGCCACTCCACTGTCCACCCAGGGAGTTTGCAGACTTTGCAGCCGTCTGATTTAACAGTGTGTTCCAAGTCAGAGAGTGGAGTCAAAGGGAGGAGGTGAAGGAGATGACGGCTCTTCAGAGATAAATTATTTAGTTGAATGTAATAGGAATCACTGTATTAATGGGAATGGCCTGAGATAGTCAGTGGTGTCGTGCAGAGACCAGATAGAGGGAAGATATGTTTGTCTTTTTTTCTTCCAGGTTTGACATAAAAAAGCAACAAAAGATCAGATGAAGCAAATGTACATCTTGAACATGGGCGTTCTGCATGGCTCTGTGTTCAGCCTATTCTTTTTCGATCCTCGTCAATCACAAATACTTAAGTGTTCAGTCCTAAACACAATCAAGTTTGCAGATGACGAAACTATTTCAACAGACAATAAGGTGTACACCAGCTGGTCAGGTGACATTAAATTAACAAACTGGTGCTGATGATCTTTCTATTAAGGACAAAAACACCAGTAAACGGTAAATGTAAAAATGTAAGTAGAAATGTGTTTCATGGATTTTACTGCTTTATACACGTGAAATACAGTTTTTTGCGACATGCTGAGAACTTTCCACCTTTGTCCCACAGAAAAAGCATGTACTTACAAAATCTGGGACTGCAGAAGCTGTGTGATTGGCCACGACTCCATCCTCTGAGTCCACTTGTTGCAAGGCATTTATAATCGAGAGAAGAGACTCTGCAAAAAAAACAAAAAAAAAAACATCTTAGCATACAATTACAACAACACCAGGACAAGCTGTCACATTAAAAATAACCACTAATAAATAAATGTAATTTTTTTTAAATAAAATCAATAAAAAAATGTTATTAACAAACAGAAGTAATTAGTTCAGATTACTTTACAGTTTAAACATATCTTAGGTTAGAGTAAATTCACTATTACAACAAGCCAACTACTTCTTATTACTTACCGTGTAAATTTGCTGGTGTGTTTGAGTCTGAAAAATCACAAATTTTGTCCCATTGGTCTCTGACAGCCTCAACCGTAATGCCTTCGTTCTTCGTTCTCAACACGTGGCCTTGGGTGCGTTCCCAACGCACTTTGAACGCAAAAACACACAAGTTTAGAGACTGCTGCCTAGAAGTTGACCAATGTGAGGACATGTGAGGACATGTGCGTGTGATTTACAGTGCAGAAACATACTAACAGTACTCACGTTTTCCAATCCAGCCAGCTCCAGTCTGTCGGAAGGTGGAATGTCAGCAGATGGCAGCAATAAAAATTGACAGAAAATTTGTTGCAAAGTCGAAACTGTTTATATTGTAAAACCATTGCATTGAAAGGAAATGTTGGTGGACACGTGCTGGGTATGACAACAATCATTCAACAAAGGAACATGCATCTCTTTGCATACCTCAAAGAGTCCGCCGTTCTCCTGACACTGATCATGGCTGAGCCAGAGGACCAGCGGAGCAACATATTCAGGCTTCAGAGATGCCGCAAGATCTAGACAGAAAAATGAATTTCACATAAATCTAACGCAGCAGTGAATCTTTTTTTATGGCGCATTCAACTCATTGTTTAAGAAAAAAAAAGACGCAACAATTTAATGTATCCATAATGTCCAATAGCAGCCATTGTTACTATTTATTACCAAAGGCACCAGATGGTAGTTGAAGAAGAAAATAATAATACATATAAATAAATATATAAATATTCTAGTATTTCAGCTTTTTAACTATTCTTACTTTCACATAACTCTAAACATGTAGGAATCTGGGACACACCATCTCCAGGTGAGTGTGTGTGTGTGTGTGTGTGTGTCAGGTGTTTAGAGGAAAAGGCAGTGAGCCTTATTGCTCCATGAAATGTTCATCATGATGGGTTTGTTATTTGTTTTTAGAAAAGCCTGAGTCAGTGACATACGGTGCCAAGTCATTTAGGAAGGTGAGGCCACTCTGTGACAGTTGGTACAGCACAGTGTGACAGATGCCACTGTCTGCCAACACTGCAGGACAACAAAAACCACTCCTCTAAATTTGTCACCAACAGCCCTGTCAACAACAAAGCAGCATCGCACAGTGTGGACAACAAGACTGTGTACTTCACAGACAAAATATATCTGTAGAAAATAAATGAATGAATATTAAAGTCTCATAAAAAATATATAAAAAACACCACTTAAAAATTAATACATTTAAATTACAGACAGATCATTGTGATGTGCAGGAGATTGTAAAAAACAGAAAATCATGCAAAATGAATCCCCTCTCTCATTCTCTGTAAGGTTAATGGAAGTCAATATTTTATTTATATTTATATTTTTATATTTATTTATATTTTTAAATTTTTATTCTTTGTGTAGCCCAAAATGATCAAAAACAAATTGGCCTCAATATGTACTTCATAATACTTCATAATTTTCACACGAAAACAATATACTTTTTCCACAAAACCCTCTTATCAGAGAATATTTAAGCACTATATTATAATCAAGTTACATCAATATTATAGCCAATTAGTAGATTTAATTCAATCATCCCAAGAAAAGCACATTGTGCTTTGCAATTACTACAGTAAACCAATTTAGATCATACACTGCACAAGGAGAGCAAAAATTAAACAAATAGCCTGAGTCAAGTGAGAAAGGATAAAATGGGGGAGGTTGCAGAGGTGAAGGAAAATAAACCAAAGAAAAGGCAGGGAGGAAAAAGAAGATATAAAGGAGAAGACAGGTGTGTGGGAGTGTGTTCATCTGCAGTGACGCTGCCCTCTGCCTGTATTTTTGTTTCTCCTAATATTCAAGCACAACAGACCTGACAGTTGGCACTCATGCAACTCAAATACTGTCAGCCAACACTTGCAGTAAAGTAGGACAGATCTGTCTGTTAAAATTTGGAACTAAAACATCAAACCTTTCAAAGCCCTTTACGGGGGGCCGTGGTTTCATCATGCCTGTTGGAACATGGGGGGGGGAACACAGCCCTTGAATATTAAATGACAAATTTGCATGTCAAACAGGAACTCTTGTTACATGGGCATTACATTATGCAGCTGCTTAAAAAAAAAAGTCAAACTCTCTGCTTAAAACCAATTTTCCTATTTTTGCTCTGGTCGAGAAAATGTGTCACTTCAGGGCAATACCTTTATTCAAACATTAGGCTGCACAGCACAGTATGCAAAACAGAGAACGAAAGACATTTATTTTGCATAAAGCGCCATCTCACCTTGGGCCATGACCGTTTCTGTGAGGCGTGACCCTGCAACCGGAGCAATAGTGTTGCAGTGGATGTTGTACTTTCTTCCTTCGATTGCCAAGGTGTTTGCCAGACCCAGCAAGCCCAGCTTGGCAGCGCTGTAGTTGGCCTGGCCATAGTTACCATAGATGCCGGCAGCTGAGGAGATCATAATGATTCTGGCCATAAAAGACAGTCACAACAGGTCAACGTCATCGCCGAAGGGAGTTATGGCACACATTGTCACAAAGTGGTGCACGTCTTTTTAAAATCAATAACCCAGCAGATTACACAGACCAGGACACCTTGTCATGTAATGTGGGAATATTTTTTTACACAATCCACATGACTTTTTGTATATAGAAGTTACTAATTAAAGATTGTATTACCTTTAGCCTTTCAGTGGACTCACCATTTTTTGTGCTGTACTATGTTAAACAGTGACAGAGAACCATGCTGACAGTTCCTCTGTTCCAGTGGACTCATTAGTTTTGAATTAGACTAGTAGGTCTAGTATCAGACCAACTGTAGAACTGTTGAGATAGATGCCCTTGGTAGAACATAACACTATTAACTGATTCTGGTGAATTGGGTCACTTTAGTTCACTTAGTTAACATATTCACATTTATTTCTCCGTTTGTACAAGTTTGAATGCTTATTAATTTGACGCAATGGGTGTTACATTCAAAAGGCATCAGGTAATTAAAGTGAGGCAGACTAATTGTCTAATAATTTAAGTGCAGACATACTTTATAATGTATAATAATCAGACAATATGCATCCTGTGAAGAGCCCACTTAAAATGCACTGCATAAAAATCTCTGGTACTTTAGCTGACATTTAAATCAAACCTTACGAGGCCGCATTAACAGAATTATACCACACTAATTTTGTCTTGAACACAATCCAGCAATGATCTGTCTGCAGAGGGAGGATGGTGTCACTGTTTCTCTGCTGGACATCTCAAACTTCCTCCCCCATAATGAGATGCTGACACAGCCTGAACTCTCCATCATAAGTTACCTGCCAAACTTCTGTTTCTTCATGTGGCCCCAGGCTGCTCGGGTCACCAGGAAGGAGCCTCTCAGGTGAACTCTGTGAATCAAGTCTGACAAAGGAAGAATAAAAGAGACTGTTGGTGTAAACTGTATCAAACAGCACTTATCAGAACACATTTGTCTGGTTTTACATTAGAAACAGCTGACAGTGGGTTTTCAAACTCCCACTCAGACAATCTGTGTTCAAAGAGAAGGCGCTTGGTGTTAAATGTTAAACGATACAGTCTCCTACTACCAGCATAGTGACACTGTATTTTTTTTATATCCACCATATGGTTATGAAATAGAATTAAGGATATTTTAATTACCCCAGTCCGTATCACTGATCATACCAAAGGATCGGTCCCGGAGAATCCTGGGCAAAAAAAGACAGGAAGATGTTTTTAGACTTAATGTTGAAGGCACACATTTTTGACCTATGGACCTTTTATGTGCCACACAGGTTGGGCTTGACGCTAACATTGACATGACTTTTTTTTCCATCGGTCTATACAAAAGGTTTTTTTCCTTTTTTAGGTTGTAGGATTGGCTAAAGCTGTAATCAAACTGGACAGGTCCCTTGTCCAGTCAGTGGGCTATATTAAGAGACAAACAACCATTCTAGCTCATGTTCATATATAATTAATTTTGAATCAAACCCAGAACCTTGGTTGGCAGGGATCCTGCTGTAGCTACTTTCAACAAGATAAAACACAAAGTAATCCTACAGATTAAGACATCATTTTGCCACCATTTTTAGGGTGCGGTGTAAAAAAACCAAAAAGGTTAAATGTTTAGTGTTAGTGCAGACGCACGCATGCACACTGTAATCACGGTGTCCAAAGTTTAAAAAAAAAAAAAAAAAAAAAAAATTACCCAGCATTGTTTACAACAACATCTGAAAGAAAGCAAATGTGATTTAAAGTAATGTAAATGTAAAAAAAAAAAATATATATATATATATAAATATATATATATATACAAATAATATATAAATATATATATATATATACATATATATACATATATATATATATATATACAAATAAATATGTATATGTAAATATGTATAAATACACACCTATTCGGCCGAATGCATCAAGTGCTGTCTGGACCAATTTTTCTCCCGCTTCTACAGAATCTGTTTGTGAACATTGGGAAAGAAAAAGTTAAACTGATGGGCGTATGAATTTTGGCTGCTGTTATTCACAAAAGTTCACGATTATGATTACGATAAGGTTTACAGGATAGATGTATTATATACAAGAACAGTATCAGTTCTGCTCTTCTCAGTCGGTTGGGTAATGATGTGAAAATCTCTTTAGTACTGATGACAGTGTATAGACATTTTGACAGAATAAAAAGAGTTACATTGTCTTCAGGTTCTATCCTACACACAAAAACACTTAAATTAATTTTAGAATAGAGGCACGAAACACAAAATCAAATGGATTTCTTTCTTTTTTTCTGTGGGACACACTGTTAAATCAGACGGCTGCAAACTCCCTGGGTGGACAGTGGAGTGGCTTAAATACTTCTTCAGCACCCATAGGAGACTTGGCGTAGTACAAATATTTGGAACCCCAATGGTGTGTCCTATACTGTGTCATTATTCCCTGCTCAAAGACTGTTTAAAATGCTTGTTTGGTTATGTGAAGTACAGAGCTGTAATCCCTGGCTTTTCCAAACGTGGCAGCTTGTCACACTTTGCAGCATCACACTGCCAGAGTCAGAAATAATGCTGCCCACCAAGCCTCCACAACAAACATAAGTGATACAAATCAAATGATTCTTCAATTTTGGCCAACAGCTTAAACTGCGATTACAAGTTACAAGGATTACATAACCTACAGTATATATGACAGTGAGCAATAAAAGAGGAAAAAAGAGATAGAGAAAAAGATGTGTCAGACAAGAATAATCCGAACTCACCATAGTTGGCCACGGCCTTGCCTCCTTTTGCTCTTATCTCCTCCACCACCTTATCAGCAGCTGCAGAACTCTTTCCACCCCCTTTAATGTCACCACCAAGGTCATTCACTTTATTGTAGAGAGAGGAAAAAAGATTAGCAACAGTGGGGTGAGCCCTGCACTGCTCCACGATTCTCAAGTCAAGAATGATAAGGTTAGAAGGAAAAGTATAGGTGAGTTGGTTCCTTGTCAGAGTTCAAGGGCGAATGCACTGCCAGCAGCAGGAAAAGCAATTATTTTAGCAAGGATAAATATTTATGACATCATTTGCAATCGTACTATCTAAAAAGTAACATCATTTTCTTGACAGCAATTGTACTGGAAATCTCTGTATGACATTTTAAAGTAACATTTATCCCCAGAAGAGATGCAACCATAAAATGTTTTTTCTCCCAATAACATTTTTTGACATTTTGGGTCAGGGTTATCTGCCGGTATAATGAAAAAACAATATGAGACAGGGTCATAGTAACCACATTATACAATGGAGAGTGGAGGAAAAATAGGTTTTTCTTAATAAGGAAAGAGAATTTACTCTCAGACTACTGGGATTACTGATGACTGACTGTAACAACATCAGCCCCTGCACCGAAAAGATACAGTGTCTAAGCATGTACAATGGCTTCTAGCCTTGACCTATCTGGACTCCACATATGTCATTTATCTGTGTCACCTAAATCAAATCACAGGCTACATGAAGCCAATATTATAACTGCTAAAACTGGATTTCATCCCTGTCAATACAGAAATGACACAGATTTTTAAAAGAACTAACCCAATAAAGCCATTAACCTGCTTATGGAAAGGACAAAACTCTACTTACCTACAACTGAGGCTCCTCTTTCAGCAAAAGTCAGAGCATATTCTCTCCCGAGGCCTGTTAAAATAAAGTTACAGGATACAGGAAAGAACATTTACATTAAGATTCAGTGGCAACACTTACAAAAAAAACTAACAAAACAAAACAAGAATAACCAAAAAGAGAGTTTACTGCAGGATCCACAATGAAACAGATTTCTTTTGTATTACTGCATTAGTAGCTCCACAGTCATTCTCAAATAAGTATAAACTGTACACTTATATGCGCTGAAGCAATAATACCAAAAATGAGTCTGATGAAAAATGCTAATGACACTGCTACCTAATGTTAACAACACGTCAAAACAAATGATTAAATGAGGCTTCTAAAGACTTGCAATATAGTAATTTCATTACATTGTTATTTACAATAAAAACCAACTGTATTAAAACAGAAAAGTCTCAAGAGTTTTCCCACAACCATTTAATTGGATAATAGCACATATATGACCCTGAATAAACACAGGTAATTTGTTTTATTTTGAATTGTGATTTAATTGATCAGTATCAGGTGTTATAATTAAATAATTAATTATTTGTTTCACTGGTCCATGTTCTTAATTTGTGTATTTTCTATTTGGTGTTTTCTAAAAGCTGTTTTAATAACCTGAGAAAAAGAAGGGCGTCATCGGCAAACAGATCACATTAAATGAAATATAAAAATATATATGAATAAATAAAAACATAACTCAAGGGCAAAATTAAATTATAAATTCAGAATTATAGCTAGGTTTTGCAAATAATAATATTAATATAAAAAACTCATTACTAAATTAAAAAATAAATACATAAGCTTAACCAGTCAGGATTAGCTTTTGCACATATACAGTACATGTGTGGCTTTTTTAAACAGCGTTGAAGACGCCTTATTGACTGCTTAGAATAAACTTATTGCGTTCAGGATTGAAAGTTTTCTACACCGTCATTATGAGAAAAATAACTATTAAAGATTCTATTATTCATCAGTGCAAACCCTTCTTGCACGCAAAGTTGCAGCTGCACTGGCTAATATACAGAGATATGGGTGGATGTGCCCTTTCACACACTTACGAAATAAAAAGCTATTGCGTAAAATGTACTTCAAATGCGACCCCACAATATCCACAAACCAACGAAACATATAATGTCACCAAAACGTTCAAAGCGGTGCCTTGGCTGCAATGTCTTACTCGCTGAATATGTGGAAAATAGTACGTTAGCATTATAAGCTAACGTTTAAAGCCTAGTTTAACGTAAATGTTAGCATGCTAAGGGTTGCTGAGTGGTAGAATGGTGTTTTACCTGCTCCTGCTCCGGTGACAAGCACCACTCTTCCCTCAAAAGACAAAGCCATTTCTGTGGTTTGATAATGTAGTAACCTGCACTTTCATGTAATCCTACTCCAGCTGGTATGAAACAGAGCGCTGCCCCAACTGCGCACAGGTCAGAAGTTCTGCAAGTTACACTTCCGCTATCAGAGGAGGGGCGGGTTCATCGCTGACCAATCATAAGGCAGAACGGTGTTTACTATGGTTTCTTCTGCGATTCATCAAATTCACTAAGAACGCGCTGCAGGTTTATCACAGAATAAGAAGACAAGGAAGACACAAATAACCAGCGTATTTAGCAAATATCCTGATAATAAAATGGTAGACTTTTAAAGTCACTATGGACCAACGTTTTTTGTCTAAACAAACCATGCTTCTAAACCCAATGTAAAAATAATAATTAGAATTTTTAAGAAGCTGCAAGTTCGATAATTAGTATTGACATAAGATAAGGTCACATGGCTCCCAGCTTGAACAAACTTTTCTTTTTATTTAAATGTTGTACTTTTAGCTAAGATGGATCTAAATCTAAATAGACCATGATTTAATGTTTTCTTCTACAATATGCATTGTCAATCTAAGCTTCCTTTTTTTTTTTTTTTGCTCAAAAGTCTTTCCTCAGAATAATGCTTGTCTGACCTGGTGTTTGGCTCCAGTAGGCACAGTCTACTGAGCAGTGTTACTTAAACCAATGCTGGCAGTTTCAGTTGTTCACCGTGATTACATTCCACACTGATCTCAGCGTTCCTAAGCACTCACCAAACTGACTCGGAGTCAGTGTGACACAGTAAAAGGACAGAGGTTCAGAGTACAGTGTTACAGAGGTGAAACGAGAGACCAGCGTAACATTCAAATGTAAATAGATTTACTTTACATTCCAGTTAATGTTAAATGAGTTCATACTATGCCAATTTAACTGATCCACTTGATTCAATTCTGTTTTTTAAGAGAAAAGCAGAGTCTAAAGTTCTTTTGTTGATCTATAACACACAGAGAGTGCTTGAGAACAGAATGGCTGAAAACACAAAGACTGTGAAATTTTTTGACATCAGCAATTTAACAAGATAATCACATGTTGCCCAACTGTCTGTCTGTCAACTGCCTAAATCCAAAATTGCTTCCTCGATCACTTCTGGTAAAACTTAACTATGCACTGTATAAAAGTGATGGGCATAGTCTTACAGTTGCAAAGTGAAGTCCTAGAAATAAACAATATGGTTTCAAAAAACTATTAAAAAAATTCCAATAATCTCAGCCAGGTTGATCAAAGTAAAATCTCACATCAAAGTGATTACTGGTCTTGCCTGTTATTGTGAGTTTGAATAAAATATTTACAACTACAACCATTTAATCAAAGTAGTAAATATATATTTATAGTTTTAAATGTAGGTAGATCACTTTACCCTGGTCGTTTGAAAAGTAGCTTCCAAGCCAAAAATGTGTGGACACCCCTGGTCTACACATGTAAATACGACCTCTCAAATATGTCACCTGCAAAAAGTGGTAATAATGAAATAATACAAGCATGTAAACAACACAATGTCACCCGTCTGTTTCCTCTATCCAACCTTGCAGATAACTAACAAAACTTACAGTTTACTGGTGCTTTCATGGATTTTTTTTGTTCATGCAATTCAGCGTCTCACCCCAGGCTCAGCAGTGACTCAGAGTTTGGTGGAGAAGGTTGTTTTTCATGCAGAAGATTTTATTACTGGCTGTGCTAGTTTAAATGTCAACGGGTCTCTGGGCAGAAAATTTAGCCATAATTGACCCAGATTGTTACAGCAACATATTGACTGGATATGAAAGATCAATCACAAGTGATGCATTTCTGTTTTAAAAAATATATGGTAATAAATACTGTTAAGCACTGCATAGTATGTGGCCAGCTAGACTAGAATGTAATGCTGTTACTGTTTTCATATCACACATTATTGCTCTGACTGTAATCATCATCTCAGATATTGGGTTGTGCATAATATTGTGTAGGTAACACTAACCCACAAAAAGGTGCCATCACTGTTTTAAACTACTTATGCATTGCAAACTATAAAAGTTAAATGAATATAAAATATACAACACAAGGTTAAATGAATACTTATATTCTGTGACGCACAAAGAGAATAAGTGTCTACAGCATATGTGTCAAACTCAAGGCCCGGGGGCCAATTGTGGCCCGCCAGGCCATTCTGTGCTTTTTGAGCCCCCTGGAGCTCAAAAAGCATTTAGTATGCAGCAGAGTTTCTTAAACTATTATTACTATTACTATTATTACACAACAATAAACAATATTTGTAGTTTGGATAAATATAATCAATTGCAGAAACATGTATCAGTCTGTTATGGAGTAGTTACATCTATACCAGTGGTCACTGACCTTTTTTTGTTCCAAGGACTGGTCAGCCAGTACCACCCGTTACTACAGACCACTAATAAGGTACTGAACATTGAAGGATCATTACATTTCCAAAATAAAACATCTTTTAGACTCTGTTCTGTTTGTATCAGAGTCTGAATGACCTATTATTTTAAAATATGTCCAGATTATCTTTAAATAAAGAAAGTAAATGGATATGACTGGATTTTCATTGAATGAAGTAAATTAGTAAAAATTAGTAAAATGTTTTCAGTGTGTCACCGTGTACCAAATGACCTATGGACTCGTACTGGTCCGCGGACCGGGGGTTGGGTACCTCTGATCTATACAGCGTTTCATTTACAACCGGCCCTTCAAATGGAACTGTACTGATGATGTGGCCCTCGGTGAAAATGATCAAGTGAAAAAGATTAAGCCAATCCTAGAATTAAACAGACAGATCACCAGTCACAGAGCCACATACATTATACAGACTAACAACCATTCCATCACATTGTACCTATTACAGACTCAGATCAACCTAATCTCTAAATCCCTACCCCTGCATGTTTTTGCAATGTTGGATGAAACCAGATCAGACCTGTTAGATCATAGGTGTCAAACTCAAGGACCTCGGGGAAAATGTGGCCCACTGGGTCATTTTGTGTGACCCGCAGTAGCTTAGAAAGTTACAATCAATGCTGCAGAGTTTCTCAACATTGATACATTTTTTTTTTATAATAACGTTTGAATAATGTTTAGTCAGGGGCCACATTTACCCTATTCAGATCAAGTACCAAAACTGGTCCCTGCCTTGAACTTCGGAGATTATTATTTTATCGGGGTTTTTCCCCCCTCAAAAAACCCGTCTTGGTCATTTATCCTGGTGCCACCCGTCTGGCTAAGAGTCAATTTTCTGAGGATCCGTCCTTGAACACAAACACTTCTCGTCAAAGAGGGAGACGGAGCTCCTCCACCTCTGCATGAGAGAGAGAGAGAGAGAGAGAGAGCATCCTCAGCTGTAGGACGTTGGTGGCTCACAGCTCACACACTCAGAGGAAGCAGCGATGGAGAAAGCAGCAGCAGGAGGAGCAGAATGACTGACAGTAACAGGGTGTTTGCCTCCTGGTACTCGATACCTAGTGTTTTCCTGAGGTCTGTCATGACCACCCGGACTCTTCTTTTTGTAAATAAACCCACTGAGGAATGTTTTCACAGTTTTGTCGATGCCTGTGGAGAATGTTCATCCTCCGCGGCGTAATATATTGGAGTAGTGCCCATGAAATCTTGCTTCGTGTGTTTATTTATTACCACTAACCCACTGCTCCGGCTTCTTTTTTGGACCTTATTTTCTTTTTCTGCCTAAATGTTGAATTCAGTGCTCTTTTGGAAGGACAGCAGTCTGGCTCTGTACCCGGACACGAGCATGTGAGGTGAACAAACCTGTGGATAGTTTCTTCAGACAGTATGATGACAAGATATGTGACCATCACCGTTATTTTTCCTGCTGGGCTCTATTGCGCATGCCTGGTGGCGGATATACAGCGCTGGCCGTCGCCACTTGACGCCGTCCTGGCACTAATGTAGGAGCCAAAAAAAAGGGGAAAGCTGAAGAAAAAGTACAAGGGAGAGCAGGACTGAATGAAAATGCCTCGGCAAAGTGGCAGCGTGGCGAGCAAAGGATTTGATCCCCCGAGATCTTCGGCGAAATAAGACTGTGCCCTCAGCTGAAGGATGTCAGCGGCAGCGAATGCAGAGGCTGAAGGAGTAGTCTCCAAAGTGAAAGTCAAAAAGGAGATCAAGACCATCGTGGAGAACCTGGAAACCATCCTGGGAGACTTGAAGGATGTGGCCAAAGAACTCAAAGAGGTACACACACGGGGGGATGTACATGCACGCACGCATTGGCAGCAGTCAAAGTACAAGATGTGTTCAGTGTCACTGTGTTTGCAGGCTTGACTTGGCTTGAAATTGATACAGCTCTTTGTAAGTACACAATCCTCTGCATACCTGCTCTTTTGAGAGACAAAATTAGTAATTAAAAGAACTATTACATACTCCCTTAATTCACTGTTGTATTGGGTGTAGCAAACTTTAACACAGATTTATTTTTGATAATTTTTCCTCTATATAAAATTCTACAAAAGCTGAACAGAGATTTCAACGTTTAGATGAAATTCATAGTGCAGTGTATGAGGTTTTAAATGTCGTAGTCGTATAACACAAAGAAACACTCACCTCACCCTTGTATATGAAGACGATGACATGATGTTGTTTTGTTGGCAACAAGCTGAATATTAGGTGTGACATGTTGTTCTGTACATTTATAACTCCATGAAGATGTCTCAAACACAAGCAAAAAAAAAAAAGAGTTTAAAATGAAAAGTACCAACAGAGGGCTACAAAGCTTCTACATCACTCACAGGCTTTGTACTACTGCTGCAGGTTGTTTCCCACGCTAAAGATTTGACACCCTGCTCTTCTAACCTTATTGTCAAAGAAAGTTGACCTTAATCTGACAAATGAAAGTGATGCATTCGTGTATTGGGAACTAAAAACTGCTTCCAGTTACTTCAATTATTTCTCAGAAAATGGGTTCTCAACACTAAAGACAAGCGGTTTTTAATGTGACAAATTTATTGTAGTGTATATAGTTAGAATTGAAGAAGCTCCTTGAATCAGAGGTGAAACGTCTTCTTTTAGACAATTCACGTCCAGTTGCCTAACAGAACTTTTTTAAACTTGACCATGACCTGGATGACTGAGAATCTTCATAGACAAGTAGTATATATAGTTTTATGTAGGAAGTGTTGGTACAAGAGGCCAAACAAGGGAAAAAAACTAAAGTACACACACACACCCAGCACAGTTACTTCTGTTAAACCCCCGCTGACCTCCATTTATTGGAAAAGCTCAACCGACACATGAACCACAAACTGTAATATAAACACAATTCACAGCCTAATGCTATCTTTAATCAGGTTCTCCTCCAGAGGGACCAGGCTTTGATCCCCAACCAGGACAACTGGTGGTGATAAGCTCAGTATTTACACCGGGACAGAGTAAACAAAAACATAAACGCACTCCCACACATATATTTGCTCAGTCCTATAGGAGCCTGTACATGATCTTTATCTCCAAGATGAATGATGTGCAGCACTCAAGGACATTTGAGGTGATATAAAAAGAAAGCATAACTGTTCTGACTCACTTGAACATAATATGTGTGAGAACAAAAAGTACAGTTAAGTAATAAACAGTTTATTTTCAATGGATTTTTGGGTTCAACAGCAGGTGTTCATGTCATCATCCTAATGTTGGCGGAGAATTACCTCCTAGTGGAGGGTGAAACAGTTGTCTTTTCAGTTTTCTCCTTTCTCTCGCTCATCCTGTGATGTTTCTTTATCCTCTGTTTGCTTTGTCAGTTGTTATCTTTCACCACATGTCATTTTTTTTATCGCAGGCACTCATCATCGTCCTCATCCTTTTTCTGTTTTGTCTGCCTTCTTTCTCCTTCCCATACCTAGAGCGCCCTTGTGAGGGATCAAAAGTCTCAGCTGTCTGATCATCCACGGGAAATGGTAGTTGAGGGAGATTTGCTGTAGGAAAATGAGGATATTAAATGTATTTACTCACAGTTGGTCTCGTGGCCAGAAATATCTCTGTGTTGAGAGACTTACTTTTCATTTAATGCATCTGTTATGGGTCTTGCCTCCTTACACTAATGTCAGTCCTTGAATCCTTTGCTGCCATTTCAGCTGTAATAACCTGCAGCTTTACCTGATTTCGTTTTTTTTTATTCTCCAGGCTGCCACACATTAGTCACTCAGCCTTCTCCGCTAAAGATCTCACCCTAACATGACAGCGTGTCATTCTAATAAAACTCTATTGCACACAGCCTCTCATTCCTGCACTGCATTATGGATGGGTAGTCGACACAGCATCTGTCTCTTTCTGCCTCTCAGGTCTCCTCACTGTGTGTTATTTTTCTCCCTAACTTGAGCTGAATTAGGCCTCCTGTGTTTTTCAATGATTTCCAGTGTGTCACAGCAGGCATCAGAGATAAATGTGAAGAAGAAGGCATTGTAATCTGTCTGTAACTTGCCTTATTTCTTTTTCTTTTTCTTTTTGCTGGCAGTAAATTGTGAAGAGGATCAATTATTCTGGCACTGCACACATACCTAGGGGTGCTGCTATCAACCCCACTATTTGGGTTATAATCCATGGGTAATGCATCTGTTTGTTATAACCTACAAACAGTGCTAAGGAGTTTGGCTCCAGCCTGCACAGATGCTTGGCACACACACCAACACTGGCTGGTCTGTACACTTGACACTTGGTTTTAACTCATATATTTATCTAGAAAAATGTTCCATTTAAAGACAGTATGTAGACTACTCCTTTGTTTGTAGTCCTTCTGGCTGCGTGTCATCTCCTCATTACTCTTCATATGTCTCTCAGGCTCCTCTTAAACCACTGTTTGGACATGCATTTCAAACCCCTAGACGATAGCAGCGGTGTCTCACAGGGGGCTAATGCACTTGGTAGTCTGAGATAAGCTTTACTAATCCCGAAAATTAACACAAGCACATTGTCTTTGCCATAATTATTTCACCAACACTGCATGTTTTGTATAGATAAAAATGTGCATGTGCATGTGCATGTGCTACAAGTATTATCTATATTTGTGCTGCTGCCTCCTAAGCTTTCCCAAGGTTTGGGTTCCTGAAAATGACATTCCTGCCACAGCACTTCATGTTTACTATTTGTCTGGTGCAGCCAGTGAAAACAAATTGTCTTTGAGGAAATATCTTCCAATTCAAATCTTCTTCTCTCTATGCTGGGTCATGAAGAAAAAACATTGTGTATTTGAATGTGATGCACTGCACACAGACAAGCTTTACCATTACAAGGGTCTGAGATAATATCAAAAAAGGTTTGACAACAACACAGCCCACTGACAATGACAGATACGATAGAACACAGAGGTGGCTGTGGTTGGTAACGGAGATGTCTTTCAACTAAAGAATGGCAGCCAGACTCCAGACTGTGATTCTTCATGTTAGAAGTTCATCTTCAGAAATTAGATGAAAAACACAATTTACATTCAGCATAAGGTCATTTGGTCTTTGTTATTCATTCCCTACATTTTTAAGGTTGTTACTCGTGCTGTCAAAATTAACGTGCAGGAGTTTTTAATTATTTACTGCCATGTGCAAAAACAGTTTGTTCTGTTTTAGCCAGCAGTGCTGTAGCTGAAATTGCCCTGGTTCGTGATTATTTACAAGATCTAGAAAAACAGAGGGTTTTTTGCATTGACTTGTTATTTGTTGTCTTAGGACTACACCACGTTGCTTACTTTGTTCAATGTGTGGCTTGGAATGAGATGTTTGGCTACGTACAGAATCTCATATAGCTTTAATCAGACCGAAACAAATCCAAAGTCAGACAGTATATTCACGACTACACTGTTGCTTTGCGGTTAGACAGGAAATTGAATTCTTCTCATTCATGCAGTGGTCTTTGTCAATGAATGCAGCATTTTCTGACCTTATCCTTTACTTGTAGTAAGGTGGCAACAGGGGTAGGATCCC